TCTGCCAGCCTGCCTTCATCCAGTAGACTACTTAAAATATTTTAATAACTGTCACATATTTTAAGTAGCACATTAATTATTAAAATTAAAATCACCATTTATCCTCTAAACTATGTGGGTCTTATGAAATGACTTGTCAGATGATATAATTTTTAGTACATACAATTCATCAAAATTTCTATGGATTTCCAAATCATTTGTTGATTTTCAGCAGTATTGGTGCAGTCTTTTGGTTGGCATTTCTTTCACTCCCTAGTTGGTACTCTGATCTGAGCACGAGCTGAGCTGATGAACAACTCTAGGTTCCTCCCATAACTTTTATTTTAAGTTGATAGTCACTACCTAACATGAGGTCCTTGTACATTTATTTTTTCTAATACTACCAATATTGCTCGTCATACTGAAACTTTTTTCAGCTTTTTCTAACCTTTAAGTAATTGTGTTCAAAAATGTTCTAGTCCTTATAATTCTTGAGATTCTTGGTATATATAATTTATTATCTTTATAATAAATTAAGTCAAAAAACTATTTTTATAATGTCATGTTTAATTAACTCAGTTTTATGTCATAATTTGATACTACAAAAATTATAATTACATTTATGTGTTTGATCACCTTGCATTCACTTTGTTATAAAGCATCATGATATGGTGGGGTTGGGGATGGAATACATTGAAAAAGTTGAATACATTTTCTCATCTTGTCATTGAATAATACACCTATTTCTGTACAATTTGTTAGACAAATAGTATTTCTCTTATAATTTATACCTTATTTTAAAATGTACCTTTGAAGTATATATATGTATTTTTGCTTTATTTATTTATTTACTTCTTGTGCTGGGGATTGAAACCATATCTTCACACTGTTATATCCTCAACTATTTTTTTTTTAATTTCACTTTTGAGGCAGGATCTTACTAAGTCACTAAGTTTCTCAGCCTGGATTTTTACTTTTGATCTTCCCATCTCAGTCTCTCAGAGTTCTGGGATTACAGGTATGCACCACCTCACCTGACCTTTTTATTGTATTTTATTACTGTGTATTAATTTATGTAGTGGTGAAGTTTGTTTGGGGAAGTTGGTACATGGATTTAACATCTTAATCAATTTAAATCTCACTACCTTCCCCCCTTTCCTCCTCCTTTGTTTTTATATGTTTTTTGCTTCTCTTTCATACTTTACTTTATTAATCTTATAAGGCAACACATTTATATTTATTTCATATAAAGCCTAAGAAAGTACTGACATTTCTATGTGGATATTTTATTAAAGCCAAATCCATAAAACCTTATTTCATTTTCTAAATGCTTACCAACTCCCACTTCCCAGGTTACATAAAAAGAATACACAAGGGTCTCCATGACTTTCACTCAGCATTTGCAGTTACAACTTTACAGAAGGCCCGTTGGGACCCTAATAGTTTTCTAATGTTCAATGTCCACTTCTACTTAAATGCTTAATTACTTTGGTATTTATTTTATATATAGTAGTAAACAGAAAGTTTATCAATAAAATATTTATATTTATTTTATTTATACTTTTATTGTGCCAACTAAATATATTGAATATATGAGTTACTACAGAAACAAAGCATCTGGAACCTTTCTCAGAAATTGTAAGCTAAAACTCTGGACTTTCTCTTTCCACCACAGTGGTATTGTTTTCATGTAACATCTCACCAGAATCATTTTTCATGGTAGCCAATGATAGTGGTTGAGATATATATTGGTTGCTGTTCTGTAGAATGCCATCGTATCAATGAAAACATTTTGCTATCTTCAGCATCTTGGATTTTGCATATTGTTTTAATAAAATACTTTTGTGTCAAATATTTGAAGCTTTATCAATATTGATTAAAATTTCACTGTTTGGACTCATGTTTTCCAAAATATGTCTCACTTCAGCCAATAAATACTTTCCCAGTCAAGACTGTGTGAATGTACACTGCAGTGGTGTACTTGTACAGGTATTACTTCTTGAAGTTCAACTGAAGGTGTCATTCTCATAATGTTGAATGTGTTTAATTTCATAATAGATTTTATTAAAAGTTCTGATGACATGTTTAAAAATGTTTTTCACTCACTTTTTGATACACTTTACTAAAGTTATTCTAAATAATTTATGTATAAAACTTATTCATAATATTTTAAATTTTCCCCTGTTAATGATTGCAAAATTTTTCACTGGAAACAAAAGTTTTAATAAAATATGGTAGACACTCTTTTTTAATGTTTTTCCTGTTCAACTTTTAACAACACAAACTTCGAGGTCTTTTTCCATTCAAAAGTTACCTGTTATCAATAATCATAGTAACATCCATCAGTGATCATCAGTATATGTGCCCACTGTCTACATATTTCATATTGCACTAGTGTGATAGAATGCATGTGTGCCCATGACTCTATGTACCACCTTCTGTCTGTGTGTCCCTCTATATGGCCCCCTTAGTTGTCCTTCTAGAATATCCACATGGCCATGTCATTCCTGCCATACTTTCCAGTTTTACTATTCTTTACTTGACCCTTCTCAATATGTTTAGCTTTCTTCCAGTCTCACATTATCCCTCCTCTACCCAGACTCTCTGTTTCACTGGACAGGTAGGTAACTCAAACTGCTAAGACAGTGTTGTGCTTTGAGACCTTTGTGTTACTTTATTTGGCATAGGCTTCCTTCTCTGACAGCATTTGTTGATATTTTTATCATTCTTAAAGTCACAAGTCAAATATGCTTACTACATGAAACTATCCCTGACTTTCCATTTCCCATGATCAACTTTTCATGTCTCCATGCTACTTATATATACAACAGTGATGGTGATTGCCGTGTTTATTAGAGTTTTAATGCAATTATCCTCTCACTTGTTTTGAAGTTCTCATGGGCAAGCATTGAAAAGTACGATCTTTGGGTGCCCTCTCTGGGACATAGAGCCTAGAATACATGTAGTCAGTCATAATTGGAAGAATGACAAAACAAATGCTGTAGACTTTCAAATTATTTGTACCAAAACTATTCCCTTTAAATCGTTTTTTCTACCTTCCACAATTTTTATTGAAGTAAACCAGTAATAATACTAAATATCTGGTATAATCAATTTTGACATCTGTATACACATCTATAATCTATCATCCAGATGAAGATATGGAACATTTTATACAGAACGTATGTAAAATACAAAACCTAAAATAGGTTTCCTTATATTTTTCCAGTTAATATTTACCTTCCTGAGAGTTAACATTATTCTTACTTCTGGCACCATCAATTACTATCCCTGTTATTGACTTTTTATACATGAACTAATACATAATTTAATGTTTTTATTTAGCACAATGTCTGGGAAATTCAGTGTTGTTACGTGAATAAGTATGTGTTCTCTTTATGGCACTGTACTATTCCACTGTGTAAATGTACCATGATTTTTTAAGTCCATACTCCTGAAGATTGATATTTAGGTTATGCTGCCTTTGAGATATTACAAATAGTACTGCTTTAAAATTCTTGAACAAATTTTTCTTTGGACATACACACTCATTTCTCTTGGGCGTATACTCAGAACTAAAAATGCTGGGCCACAGTCTGTTTAGCTTTAGTAGCTACTACTTCAGGATTTTCCAATAGAGTTCCACCAATTTATTTTGATTAGTAATGTATGAGAATATGAGCCACTTGTCAGTCTTTTAAATTCCATTATTTTTATTGCAATTTTCCCCCTGTCTATCTTAGATTTGTTTTAGTTAACCTCCAACTAAACCTTTTTCCCCATGGCAAATTTAATTGCCATTCTGTGAATTGTTCCAGCTGTTCAGTCCCTTTTAGGCTTGTGCCTAAAACTGAACACAGCTTTCCAAGTAGAAAGACACTCTGGCTTTCATATGTTTTCTACTTTGTTCTCACTTTTTTCAAGATATGATCAGCAAAGACCTTTCAATACAACTGCAGCATATTGAGCTGATAGTTACTGGGAAGCTGAATTGGTATTCAGAGCCCCTACACTTGGAAGGACAGTTGGATTACGTTTCACTCAGTATATTCACTTACCATTTGCATATTGAATCCCATCTGAAATAGCTGCTCTCCCAAATACCTGCTTTGTGAAGTCTCCCTGCCTTTCTTACCCACCTCCTGGGCACAATGTCCTCATTACATCTGCTAACAGACAGGGAAGGACAAGGTGATAGAGAAGAAAAGCTGCTGGTCTGTGAGGCAGGGCACACCTTTTGCTATCTGTATCCCCCTAATCAAATCTCCACGTCATAGATACTTCTCTATTTGCAAAACAAAATAATTGACAAAATGACAACAAAACAAAATCACCCAGTGCTGAACTCTATAAATTTAGATTTTACTGTGTAGGTTATTTTCATATCTTGTAAAAAAGCAATTAATAGGTCCCATTAAGGATGCATCCCGAAGTCCCCATTGCTAACACTTCTCCACGCCAAGAAATGCCATCTCGCCCTATCTTTGTCTTTGTGCCAGCTCTTTCACCACAACAAACATTTCCTATACTTGCCGTGTAACTTGACGCTTTTGAAGGGTATGGAAACTTGTGAAATGCTTTCTAAATGTTTAAATAAATTCTGTCCTGCCTTTCTTTGTCTTTAACCCTTGCAGTCATTTTTTCTTTGTTTGTTTTATTCATTTTCTGTTGAACATGATTATACTGTGCAGCCTTGTGTGGCAAAGACAGCATAATGATTTCTCAAGCAGCATATATTGAATAGAAATGAAAAGGAAATCTTCTACGTTCTTGGCTAAGCTAGTTAATGGTTAGGAATGGTGAGTTCAATCACCTTTAGCTTCACATGAAATGTTTAGTTTTGTTTTTTGTTGCTGTTGTTGTTGTTTTTTTCTGGTACTGGGAATCAAACTCACGACCTTGCGCTTGCCAGGCAGGGGTTGTGCCACTGAACTTAATCCCCAGCCCCCACATCAAATATTTAGGATGCTGAGAAAGAGAAAAGTCAGTTTCCTTATTTACACTTGTTATTGTCATTGTAAAAACAGCATAAAATCAGCGTATTGTTTAACTTGCCACACAGAGCTTATGAATTTGAGACACCCCTACAAAAATGTTTGTGGAAAAATGGTCTACTACAGCCATATTTTCAGCCCATTCTATGGAAAAAAAACTGTGGCTATCTGATATTCCACTTTGATATTCTATTCTACTTTTCTCAGGTGGGTATATTCTTGAAATTTGAAGGAACAATGACCTGTGTTGCAGAGGGTACTTTTGCTTAGTCCTTCTTGTGTTCGATAGTTAAAAACAATCACAGTTAGAAGCCAAATGTTTTGGTCATGTGTAGCAGGATTTTGTTGATTTGAAATCAAAACAGAAATTAGCCTCTTATTTTGCTTTTCTCTGTACCATCATCAAAGCAGCTGAGAACATCAGCTCACCCTTCAAATCATATGCATTTAGAGACATTTTCACCTATTCAAGGCTGGTTCCACTGAAGGCACTGTGATCGCATACCCAAGCAAATGGGAGAGGATTTGAGAAATGGAAATGATAGGGATAAATTGAAATTTTCAGAAAATACCAGTCATTAGAACGAACATAAGTAGTTTTTTACTGTTTGTGGTGGACATTTCATCCATGTGTTTAGAATATGGAGAGAAATGAAGAGCTTAGTGTTGGACGTGCTGAATTTGAGCTTATGGTAAAATATCACACTATAAATGTTCAACAAGAACCAAAAAATGTGGCCTTGAGGTTACAGGCTCAGATGGGAAACAGACACTTGGAAATTGTCAGAGCAGAGGTAGTAGGGGACACGATGAGAGCTGATAAACTAGCAAATCCCTGAAGATGTCCTCAAGAGATACAGTTGTCTTGCCCTATTCTCTATAGGTGGTAGATTCCAACTTCCGTCTTGAGTCATTCTCCCTGACAACATCCCATCCTCATTCTGTCCTTTACCACTTCAGCTGTCCTCTGCTGACTGTGAGGGTCTTGTATTCTTCTGTCCCATAAACAAAGAACTTTCAGTTCTTCCATGAAATTCTGTTCTCTTCTCTTGGTATGCACTCATTATTGGCTATATGACGTAATAAAGGATCCAATTTCAACAGGGTGTTTAGTAGGGTTGCTGGCGATGAGGAAAAGAGGTGGGAGCAAGACTGTGCATTCTCAGTGTGTGGGAGCCATAGGTGTAGGCCACATATCAGGTGGAGACTGACTATAAAGAAAAGATTATAAGAGAAATAGTAGGAAAATTCGGATTAGGTGAAGATTGCTAGATTGCCATGCATGTGCAAAATAGAATAGTTAGGAAAGGGGATAAGATTGAAATCTGAAGAAACAAAATCAAAAGAAGGATTTTTGCTTGAGTGCACAAAAAGAAGGGATCAGAGTCTTCCTCAGTGAGTGAGTGCTTCACCTGGCAAGCGTGCATTGGGATGAAATTATAAAAACAGGGAAAGCATGCAGACCTTGTAAGCATGAAAACCTTGCTCTTCTGAAGAGGTGGAAATGTAGAGAGAAAGTGGAGAAGGAGAATAGTCAAAGAACTGCTTTCACTAATTCCCCACAAGTGGCAATAGCCCCGAGGCTCGAACCTGCAAGGGGAGAGAGGTCTGGAGTACTGCTTACTGCTCTGCATTAGAATTGCTCACAGGTCTCTTCTCCTTACTAGCCGGTGGTCTTTTGAAGAAAAGGGATAGGGTACAATACCAAGCATGTTCGTGTCTCACAAAAACTTATTTCTTTTTTTTTTAAATAAGCACTGTCAAATGGTAAAGAATACTTTATCCTCAACACTGCTCTCTGTTATACTTCTTTTTCTTCCTTCCTAGGAACTAACACTAACATAAATTCAATGCATGTCCTCTTAGCTTATGCATCTACTTATCTACATCCATGGACTAAATATAATATTATTTACTATCTGATTTCAAAGATAATTAATATTCGCTAGAAGGGCCTCTCTGCTACCTGAGGCACCCTAGTAATGAAGAATCTAAAGGTGAGTAAGGTAAAAGCACAAATGCTTTCACTTTATACTAACCAATTCTGCACTTTGTCTTTTTCTGCTCAACAGTATGTTTTAAGGTGTATCCAAGTTGAGACATCCATATTTATTTTATTTTATTTCATTGTTTTTACACTGTTCATCTTTGCATCGTCCATTTCTAGGACAGCATATGCAATGTAGGTGCCCGTATAGTAAACTTTAAAAATTAGTGGATGAATTTGGGTGAATAATATGACAACAGAAATTGATACTTTGAACATTGCTTTATAGTTTAAATACTTTATAGTTGTGAAATAACTTTTATGTGTAACTTCTTTGGCCTTTGCTTGTCCATTTCCCTCCAAAGGCCAGTGCGAGGTAAAGGTTGTGATTACATCTTTTTGGTGTGTGGCTATGTCTTGTGCCTACTCATTCCATCCCTAGTGCCCATTCCAGTGCTTAAAATCCTCAGTAAATATTGAATGAGTGAATGACTTTCTGCTTAAATATTATTTCTCTAAGGTCTAGGTTGTGAGCACTTAACTGTTTTTCCAAGACCATGTGGTTGGAATCAGGACTAACAATCAGGTTTTCTGATACTAAATCCAGTGCTCTTTTCATTACACATTGAAAGAGCTATTGTAAGGACTCTATTAGGGAATCAGTAGAAGAAGAATAATTACCATGAATTACTACCCTGATGTATCCAATAAATAGATCCCATGTACTTCTGTAATTGGACAAAATTAAGAACAATAACCAGATCTTGAGCTCTTGACATTTATCATAATCATTGACTGAGTATTTTGTCACATGGTCTTAAAATAAGGCTTGCATATTAGATGTGTGAGTTATGTGAGTCTGTAGGGTTGCATGAGTGAAGAAATAAGCAGAAAGCAGTTTCACTGAAAAGAATTGCTCTTGCTAAGGTCACTGAAGATCTTCTAATTACCTCTGACTACATGCACTCCTCCTCTAGCTTCAACAATGCCCTCCCCTCTCCTCCAATTCCCCTTATGTGCCCCCTAAGATACCTTCCTCCAAAGTGATCACTTAGTGATGTTTCAAAGAAAGTCAAAAGGATTTCAGGAAGAAAGACCTCATCAACTGCTTCAGGTATCTACTCCACCACACCACCTATCAATCCTGACTGCTCTTGGTCAATACATTTTACCTGTCTATTTTGGGAGTACCCATTTTTCTCACTAGGAGAGAGGTCCACCTCTTGCCTTTAAACATCTCCTGTGTTTAGAGCAGCTGAAGAATTTAGGATTACTACATAGCACAACTCTGAAAAGCAGGGATCCTAACTCCCTTGATTGAAACCTGGCAGGTCAGTGGGTGAGACGCAGCAACATTTCCATGTGTGAGCATCATTCGCTCACCTCCAGAATCCTATCTCACCCCTGTTTTGTGCATCTTCTACAACTTGTTACATCAGATACCTCTCATCAAACTGGTTTAGTAACTGCTTCTGAGCTGAACTGCTATTCTTTCTTGCTGCATTGAGACAGGAAAAGATTCCTTGACATTCTTCCTGCTTGAGGTACATTCTTATAATTTTTTTTCTTTTTTGAAGAGAAAAAACAAGAAAAACAATTACACAAAATTTCAAAATGAGAAAGTAGGAGAGTAACAATTGTTAGTACATTGCTTATTGTTATCTTCAAAGTAGTTGCACAGATTATAAGATATAGGTATGAATAATTGATCAAATAATATAAAAACAAAGCTTTCTTTTCAACAAACTAATAGAAATTAGTAGTATAGTTCTTTTAACTGATACACACACACACACACACACACACACACACACACATATATATATTTACTTTTCCTTCCTTCTTTACTCCTTTCCTTCATCCAGTTTCTCTTTCCTTTTGAACAGTTTCTTCCCATTTCCCAGTATTTATTGTACATTTTGGGTCTTGTTTACTCTTTTAGCTTCTTACATTAGGGAAATAATACAATGTTTACACATGTGACATTGATTTATTTTATTTATGAGTATAGTCTCAAGTTGTTCAACATCATTGGTCATTTGAGAGATGCAAATTAAAACAACACTGAGATTCCATCTCACCCAAGAAAGAATGGCTATCATAAAAAAATCAACTGATAACTAATGCTGGCAGGGCTGTGGAGAAATAGAAACTCTTCTCCACTGTTGGCTTCAGTGTATAGTGGTGCAACTATTGTGAAAATCAGTGTGGAGACACCTTGAAAAACTAGGATTAGAAAAAGACTAGGATTAGAGGTCCCATTTGAACCAACTATTCTCTTTCTGGTTATCTTCCCAGAATAATTACAAACATCAAACCACAGCAATATATGTGAACCCATGTTCAGAACAGCCTAATTTGTAATAGCTAAATCTTGGAAACAATCCAAATGTCCATCAACCAAGAAATGGGTAGGAAAGATGTGGCTATTTTATATAATGGAGTATTACTTACTCGTAAAGAAGGATAAATTTGAGACTTTTCTAGGTAAGTGGATACAACTCAAGACCACACTCATGAGTGAAATAAATCAAACCCATGTGCATAAACATCATATCATATCACTAGTTTGAGAAAATGAACAAGTAGTTAAGATCCAAAATGTACAATAGGTATTGTGAATTGGGAGGAAACTGCTCAAAAGAAAAGACAAATTGTGATGGGGCATAGGGGAAAGGAGAAAAGAGAGAAAGGTATACACAAGATAGTTAAGATAGTTATTTGTCTTCTTCATTAAAAAGAAAGTTTTGCTCTAATATTATTTGGGCAAGATTTCGTGTTTATATCTTCTACTCTGCATAACTATTAGGAAGACAACAATATGCAATATATCAACTGTTGCAACTGTCCTACTAACCTGTTTCATTGTTATGTTTATCTTTTCTTCTCTCTAAAAAAAGCACTTACTCAACATTGAAGGGACTTGAGAAAAGTAAAAGAAAAACTCATGTCTAAGAAGAAAGTTGATGAAAAGTTGTAGCTTTTAATATATGATGATGAAAAGAGATCTTTCTTTGGGGTGAGTCCCTGATTCCAATTTTACATTTGTGAAGCAATTAGCAGGACTCCTCTTAGGTTTTCCTGGTCTCCTCTGTTAGAAGAATGTCTCTGATATGTAATATTTGTTTGAAAACCCAAAGAAGCTTGTTTCCTTTTGAGGTTTGCCTTACTTTTTATGTTTTGAAGTTCATTTTGGACCTCAGATTTTGCTCCGAGCAATAAAGCTGGTTGAATCATACCAACATAATGGAGCTGTAATTTTAGCCAACTGCTGGGGGTGGGGAGATAGTTAAGGTGTGTAGTGGTTTCTGTGGTTTCTCTGTGGAGTAGAATTCCCCGCAAAGCTTTTCCATGTGGTGTTTTAATAGCTGTCTTAAAGTTTTCTGATGCATGGAGCAAAACCGAATTAGGCTCATGTGCTAGATTTGTGGGATGGGCCAAGGGCTCTGAAAAATGGAAGAAAACAACCAAATAGTCTAAGCCAGAAGCTAAACTGTCCAGAAGAGATCCTAGGGACATATTCAAATTCAAAGTTATAGAAACAATCACCCCTTTTTTGCAGAACTTTCTATCGGGAATTACAGTATTTCTCCTGCAAGTATTAATATTTTGCTATTGCATGATGTTACACTATTTACAGAATAATTGTAGGTATATTTGTCCATTAAGGCTCATAATAATCTTTTCAAGGCTGTAATAACTAGATCTATTTTTAAATGAGGAAACAAAGTCACAAAGATAAGCATAAAGCCACTCGACTAAGATATAGTAGAAGAAATTTGACACCACTCCTGAAATATGCATCATTACACTAGAATTTCAAAAACTGTAATTAGTGATAATGTTTAGTATTTATGAAGGTAAGAAAAGCCAGCCAGCTAGTATATGCATGCATGGTAAAGCTGCTTTGAGACTACTTGCTTCTCATCACTGAATATCAGACATGTACAGTGTTATCTAGACATCAAAGGAATGAACCCTTTTCTCTCATTCAGAGCTTAGTAATTCAGAAGAATGGTTCTTTCCCACATGTTGAGAGTGGCTAATAAAATGCCACATGCTCAGTCACCCTTCCTGTACTAAAAATGTGTAAAAATTCTCCTTAGTGTGTGTCTTGACAACCTAGTTTAAGAAATATTTATTGAATGCTACTATATGCCAGACACATAGGCAAAGTAGGAAGTTGTCTAGGTGGTATAAATCTAGGAGATCCTTGTCCACTGACCCAGACCACTGCCTAAAACATCACCCTCAGAAGGGCGCTCCTTTGAATTAGACCAGAAGTCACTTGGATTCCTTTTTGAAAATGCAGATATCCTGGAGAAAAGAAATACTTTAAAATACTAAAGTCTTGGCGTAGATTTGCTTATTGGATTAATAAATCAGCTATTAGAACCCTGAGTGAATAAGTGCTATAATGGGTAAATTTTATTCTGTGCAGAAAAGGGTAGGTAGATCTGCAAAGGGCTGTAAGGGGCTGTGGAGCAGGTGGACCAAGGCTCTCTATCAAATGTAACTCTCCAAACTTAGCTCTCTGTCAAACTCTATCAAACATAAACTCTACCAAACATGAACTTCAATTCCTTGTCTTTTGTTCTTATTTTAAGAACTAGACCTGTGTGACATCTATGTTTTAAGTCTGGATCCAGATGAATATTTGCAGTTCACTAGAAAACAACGGATCCTTTTTGTACTTTTAAAGCAAATCCCCATCTCTAACAAAAAGTAGCCTGGGGCGACTCTTTTCCTAGTCCTTAAGTGCAGTGCTCATCTTCCTCCTGGTCAGCCAGCACACACATCCTCGGCTCAGTGCCTTCCATTTGCCTCTCAGTGATGTTTTGTTTTGCTTTGCTCTGTTTTGTTTTGTTTTATTTTTATGCTGCATGATGGCTTAATGTCTTGACAGATTTGCATATGACACAAGATGACCAAACACTACCTTGCACCACACACACACATTCTCCTCCATAGCTCAAAAAAATTGCACACTTTTAGAAACTTAGATATTATATGTTCATAATTTTGGTTCTCACTTCCAAGAACCTAAAATATTTTAAGAACACATCACTTAATACATTTATATTTATCAAATAGAAAATTATTTCTGAAACTTACCATCATTTAAATTAATGCTGTATATGTTTTTTAATAGATGAAACTGTTGATATTATTTGACTTTGTTCTTAGTTCACTCATAAGGTCTCCACACCTGAAGCAGGATACATGATGTAACCATGTGTGTGCTCGTGACTGATAAGAGAAGAAGCCCTCCAAAATAATATCAGTGACTCCAACTCTGGTTATTGTGCTGTGCTTAGAAGGTCTTTCTCTGTTTTCTTTCCATAAAAGTCTCAAGAGATAGGTGTTGTCATTATCTTCATTTATGCCCAGGGCACAGAGGTCTCACAGCTGGTCCACTGAGATTCTAACCTAGGCATTTGCCTTGTAAGACCAGGATCTTAACCATTATGCCAAAATGACCTGTGATCCTCCAAGGAGCCACTACAGTGTGAGAAACCTTGTTGCCTATGAGCAGGAGCTGCCTGGGGATTTTCCACAGCAAGCCAAGCATGCAGATGCCTGAGTGGGAGTGTAAAGGAATAGTCATGAGGAAAGGAGTCTTGCAGTGCGCTGCCCCTGCTCCTCTTGGAGTGGTCCTTTCATGCTTATCTTGTCATCTTCTTTTCATAGAGCCCATTTTGAAGGATAACACTGAAGCAGCATCAGCTGAAGCATCATGAACAACACCCTGAAACAACATGAGCAGACACTTAACCAACAGTTCACACAGCACACCTGAATAGCATGACTCAGGGATGGAAGGATAGAGAGAAACTCCCTTCTCCTCTTCAATATTTTTTTAGAGACAGCCCTGGCCTTCCCAATAAAATCACCTGTAACTTGGTTTTAAAAACACAGCTCTTCCTAGAGTGCTACAGGGAAATGTTTGATAATCAGCTTTCCAGGTGCAAAGCTCAGATGTATGGCATCGGCCATTGCCTGAGTTTGAGTACTGTCACCATGAGAGCGGAAGGCGGCCTGGCACTGAGGCCTAAGTTCACACTCGAGCCTCTCCATGCTTGGCTTGCATGGAAGATCCCCAGGCAGCTCCTGCTCAAAGGTAACAAGGTTTCCTCACAGTATAGTGGCTCCTTGGAGGATGCCGATCATTCCGTCATAGTGGTTTCCTCTCCCTCTGTTCCAGCTGCCATGAAGTGCGCAGCTTTCCTCCATCTCACCCTGTTACCATGTTCTGCCACACAACAGGCCTAGGAGCAATGAAGCCAAGTGACCGTGAACAGAAAGTCTTCAAAACCATAAGCCAAAATAGACTTTTCCTCCTATAAGCTGTCTTTCTCAGATATTTGGCCACAGTGATGCATAGCTGACTAATATAATGGGAAATAGGAGATAGATTTGGAAGAGGGGAAGAGAAAAGAAGAGCAGTTCTGTAGTCAGTGCTAAAGCTTTTTCTTTCCTAATGGAAGGAGATGCCTCTTTCCCCTGGCATCTGCTTGCTTGTCTGAGTCACTCCAAGGAAACTTGTGTTAGGAGAGGAATGCCCACAGGACCCAGTTCCTCAAACTGACCCCTCGTTTGAGCCCTATTAGGTCAGACATGATGTGCTCTCCTCCCAAAAAACTTCAGAGCCATGGACTGTATAGACTGCATAGTTTCACGGCGTGCTGCCTTCTAGTGCTTTGTGATCCTGAAGGTCAGACTCTTCTCTGTGTCCCAGTGTACTGTTGCCTTAAATATCAATCAACAGATATTTATGTGGAGAGTTTCACTCCACAGTATTCTGTTTGTATCAGCACTGCAAGGCACAAAAGCATTTAAAATATAACTTGTAACTGCAGGAGTTTAAATTCTAGTTAAGAAAATATGACAGCCATATGGATCAATTCCTATTGAAGGACTGTTATAATGGCAAGATGATAATATGTCAAGTTAACCTTTATGATGAACTGTGAGGAATATACAATTAAAGAAGAGTCTATAATATATACGTATTCAGTACAAGGAGTTAGGTAAGTGCACGTCTGATCATTTATAGTGCCCTTGTTCATCATATGACAATCAATGTCTATTATTTAACCTATATTTTTACTTAATTTACAGCTAGAATCCCTGTCAAAAAATACAATTATAGCAGCCAGTTCTATGTAATGAAAATATTTTTTTCTTCTTCTGGCCCGAAGCCCATACTAACAGTCCTTAGCTGATGGAGATCCAAGACTCTTTTAGAAGAAAAAGCCCACTATGAGAAAGATAGTCACAAATCCCTGTCCACTTGGTCAAAAACTCACTTAACAAAAGGTTATCCTTTTCAGCAGAATATTGACATAAAGTGCTTGTTTGCATATCTGTACAATAATAATTCAATAAATAGTTCTTAATAGCTATTAGTAAATAAAATAGCTCTTAATAAAAGCTGATTTTTTAATGCTGCATTTACTTAACTTGAGGCTTTTAAATATCACTTAATGAAAGTGTTTGTCGTTCTGATCAGTTCTGGGCAGAGGACTGTGTGAATCTCTTCTCAGGTCCTGCCATGCTAGCAAAGGCAGCAGAATAGATGACTCATGTCCCACTAGTGCCTTTCCTTGTGTCTGTCCATTGCATTTACAACAGAAGGAGGCATTCACAGTCCCACTGTACAAAAGCTACTTTTCATTTGTTCCTGACAAGGTTTTAGTAATTATATTAGAACATGGAATGCCTAGGTAACATTTGGAGAATTTGCAATATATGAAAGAAAAATAGTTCTAAGTCTACACTAGGTCTCTAGTACAGGAGACTAACTTGAGACGGCCAAGTTGTCTGGGTTTGCATGAATACTTTCTTGCCTTAGGAGACTACCATGTAAGTGTTTGGGTTAAGACGCCCTCCTGCCAGGCTTCAAATTAGGTGAGACTGGTAAAGTAAATAAAAGGTAATGGATTGTGTCCATACATGACTTCATTCCATCCTTTGAATGCCTTTATCGATAACTACTCTGTAATATATGCCCCAGGTAATAGAAAGCTGACTTTATTTCCTAAGGTGTTTGAGGTGTACCAAACTAAGACCCTCTTCTTTCACCACTGAATACACCCAGGGCAGATTTTCTTAGACTATTAATATTTTCTTTCTCTCAGCTCATGCTAATTATATCCAAACTTCTTGAACTGTTTTTAAACAAACTCACTTAAGATCCATTATTGAGCAAAGAAACAAAGTACAGCGCTCCTGTACTCACAAGTGTGTTTAATAAGGTTGTGCACATTTTACCTGCATTCCTCTCACCAGTGGTCAACATTTCCTTCGCTATACTAAACTTCTTTTGCTTCCCTGTGAATTTAAACTTAAGGTCTCTCTCCAACTCCATGTTGGAACAGTATAGGTGGTGGTATGTTTTTAATAATGTTTACCAAATCTAATTTGTGTTTGTTTGTTTGTTTGTTTGTTTTAATTCCCATTTTTTAGATTGCCATCAGTTTGTAGCAGCTGAGAACTTACAGTTACCTTGCAATACTAAGAGCAAAAGTCAGAAATTATATGTGCACAGCATCATTTATTTACCTAGTCTTCTGAATTACACATGGGGAAATCACTTACTCTTCTTCGTGGACTGGAGCATCCTGCTTTCCCTGGCGTCTCACTGCCCCCTGCTGCAGGCAGTGCACACCCTTCTCCGCAGCGTTCGCTGCATTGTGACTTCCTGGGCCAGTCCCTGCCTGGTTGTTCTGGCAATGCGATTAGATACTAAGCTCCAACTCTAACAAAGTCCTCCATGGGGCTTCTTCTTTATATAGATTCAACTTCTGAAGCAGGAAAGTGGGCAAGTGGGCACTCTTTTGTGGGCAACAGAGTATAGACAGGAAAGTGGGCCCCAGTTGGATGTTAATCCCCTTCAAATGGAGAGGTATACCCCAAATGCCCAGTGTATCTCATAGCGAACTCCCAGCAAATTTAGGCCTGCTCCAGCTTAGGAGAAGTATTTCCAGGTAAACTCAGAAATCCTACAAGTTTTAGTGTAGCAGCATGATTTGGAAAAAAAAATCTACTGTTAATTAAGATCCATTATTGAGCAAAGAAACAAAACCCCTGGATGGAGAAGGGAGGGAGAGGGGGAGGGGGATGGGAGGAGAGACAGACACAGAGGACTTTGGGGAACTTCTGTAGCCTCCCATCCTTTGTAAAACTGGTATTTAAAAAACTCTAATTTTTAAGATATGATGTTTTAAGGTTTTAAGGCACAGTCTATTTTTGAAATCTCAACAAACTTTAATATTTAATATGAATCTTTATCTGTTAGTAATAAAGCACAGATAGTAATATGGTGATCAGTCATATGCAGTTTAAGGATTATAAAAGGGCATCCTTTCTTTCAAAACTGTCCCAAAATTTTCACAAAGCTGTAAGCCTTGTATGTAGCCTCTGTGAGGTTCTGCCAAAATGACATGGAACGATTTGGTCAGTTTCATCATGCCTCTGTTTTTCCATTTATAGATAGGAGTGCACCTATTTCACGGGGTTGCTGAGGAATGCAGTGGGACAGCCTTCACCTGGCACACGGGAGAATCACAGTGCTCCTCCCTCCCCTCCCTCTCCTTTTTATCTGAAGTGGCCAACACCTGCCTTTGACATTAGATATGAATGTCTGGGTGGGAGGTGGAGTGTGATGCCCTCTTTCCAAATTGTCTCCAAGGGCAGAGAGGCCGCCTTTCCTTGTCACCATTAGCTTTCAAAAACAAGCAAAGAAACTTATAGTGGGTTAAGTGGGTAGAGGTGATGATTAGTTTTGAAAACTGTGTGTCAGGAACTGTAACATATTACCTGCCCTGGAACCACGTATCCCTTACCATGAGAATGAAAGAGATTTTCCCTCTTTATTAGTGTCTGGAGATGCAAACGAGAGGTGAGAAGGAGTCCAATACAGGAAAGGTCATTTTGTGAGCATGGAATTTTTCTCTAAATACTCTACTATAAATATCATACTTACTTTTTAGAACTGGCACATTTAAAAAACAGATATTCTGTATTTCTATGGCAAATGAACAAACAAAAAGAATGTCAAACTCAACAGCAAAGCTTAAAACATGTAAGGTCATATCTACCTGTGCATACCTGCAGCATGTACAACATTCGCTTTGTAAGGTTTTATGTTCTTACATATGGTTTTGCTTTGGCAGTCGCATTGAAAATTGGATGGTTCTTGTTAGACAGTAAGTTTCTATGGAGAAAAATAAGAATTTAAGGACAATCGCTCTTTGAGGGTAAGAACGAATTGACACTAGGTCTTCTCCCACTTACACCCTAAATCTGCCATCAGCCTGGTTATGCACTGGACTCACTCAGAGGGAGAACCACACAAAATTATGCCTTATGCTGAATTTATGTGACCTTTCCGAATATTCTTAGACCTTTTTTTGGTGTCCACCAAGAACAGGTTTTGTTTTTGTTTTCCCGGCACCGGGAATCAAACTCACAACCTTGTGCTTGCCAGACAGGCGCTGTGCCGCTGAGCTAAATCCCCATCCCCCGAAAGAGCACGTTTTACCTTGTTTAAATCAGACCTCTAGACAGGGGCTGGAGAGCAGCTGAGATACTGTCCTGTGAAACCCTTTGCTTTACAAAGGGGAAACTAAGACCAGAGAGGTCGTGTGCTCAGGGTGCCACCCCCTCCTTACCTCTCTTTCCTAACGTCTTTGTCGTGCGGGTTTGTTCCACCGCCCTGTAGGACTGTTGGTGTTCAAAAGCGTGCGCAGTCCTCTTTCCAGCAGCGCAAGAGGGCGACCCACTGGACTCCACTCTCAGTCTCCCAAGGAACGGCTTCTTCCTGACAGAAGTTATGGGAAACACAGAGAATTACTGATGAGATCGTTGTCATTTGTAACTTAATTTTTTAAATTATATGCAAACATTCATGTCCAAGTGTAATATTTTACTCCTTTTCTTAGAAATAGAAAGAACTCCTTTGTGAATTAACAAAAATATTCCTGTGATACATTGGGAGGAAAAGATGGGTTCCAGCACTCTTTGGCAACTTTCTCAGTATTAACCAACATTTAAAATTATTTTTTGATCCCTCTCTATACCCCTCACAGTACAGCCATAGAATGTAACAGGGAACAAAACAAAGATTGTTATTTTTGAGACTAGATTTTAATGTATATATGTGGTAGACAAGTGAACTACTACTTTACAACCACAAATCCTTCTTGGACAGCGTCGTAGTGAAAAATATCATTTTTAATAATTATTTTCCTTAAAAGACCCAGTTTCTCAAGAAACACTTTTTTAAATCAAATGGTGTGAAATTTGGCACAATACTGCCGCCTAGTGGCTGTTTCAAAGACTCCTATTACTACAAAGTTAACACTGTCTGGGTAAGATTTACAGAAAAGTACCGTTTTGCAGTGGAAATAATTTTCACACAAAATTACCTACTCAGGAACACTTAGTGTCTAATTCCATTTGATTTTGTGACAGGACGATTGGAAGGCCTCCATTGCTTTCGTGGTCGGTAATCAGATTGAGGATGATCTTCTCATTCAAGCCCTCACCTTGGCTGTCCAAGTGCCTCAGCGCAAACTCTTCAGTATAGTTTCATGGCGAGACATTCTCCTGCAGGTACTTGTGACTTCCTTTCTCAGTACCAGCCAGACTTTGTTAAATTTTAAAACTATTTTTTAAAAGCCCTTCCATATTCTTGGGCTGTTTTGTAAACTTTGGCTCATTACCTCAAATAAATATTTAGCTAGAATACATTTGAATTGTTTAGTTTGTCAGAAGTAACTTTCATTCATTAAGGTCACTCATTCAACATTCACTCATTTGATAGAGATTTCTGGGACCAACTCTGGACACCATGCTGGGTTTTGTGAGGAATTATTTAATAAATAGTTGAACAATAACAAAGTCTAGACTAAATAAGGTTCCCAGAAAGTACATGACTAATAGGAAAATGAAGTCTATGGAGATCATAGCTGTCAGGGGCCAGAGGGGAGATAACATAGAGAAGATCTGTCAGATGCATAAACCCACACAACTCACAGCTAACTAAGATGGCTAGAAATACTCCCCCCACTGGTGAGCGCCACTTCCTTGCTAGCATCCCCAAGCGCTGATGTATCTCAGTATCGCTTACCTAAGCCCTTTTTTGTCATAATATGTAAATTTTAACTTTCTTACAGATTAATGAAGCAAGTGCACTTGCCGGAAGTGCTTCATCTAAAAAGGCAAAAAAAACTGCAGGCAGTAATGCTCCACTATTTTATGAGGTAGGTGAGACTTTATTGAAGAGATTTTTGTAAGTTTTAGAAATGAGAACTGGAGTGATAATGTGATTGACTTTTTATGTATTTTCATTTTTGAAAGTAAGTTTCCTGCTTTTTGTTGAAGATGTGCTATTCCTGATGGTAGGTGTGTGTGCACACATGCACACACGCACACACACTGTACCTCCTTTTAAGCAAAATCCTCCTTTAGTTATAAAATTGTCCTACATTGTTTACAATATCAATGCAACCAATTGAAAACCATAAATCAGAAACTGTTCCATAAAAAAGTAATGTCATATGTTTTCATGTTAATTATTGAGTATGTGATGGTATTAAAAGAAGTTATTATTAGGATATCACAAAGTGTTGATTTCACCACCGAAACAAGAAAGAATTTCATGTATAAGACAGAGCCACAGCTGGAATAATGTTCCATCAGTTTAGGGACTTTCTGAACATTTTATATCCGATTTTAACTAAAGTGAAAACAGTGACATTCTTCAATTTGAGTATATGTGCTGCTAAAGGAAGCATAGCGTTCCTCAGATTACGGCCCATTCCATTTCTAACAGTTGCTTGATACAAATTCTGACATGTGCAAAAACCTTAGAATTCATGCTCAGTACAAGCGGATTTCTTCTCACCCTGCTTTGTTAATATCTGACTTACACATTGAAAAAAAACTCTATAAACCTCTAGAGATTAATTAGAATGTCACAATTTGTTAAGAACTGTTTTATCATTTTGCATACCTAAAGCAAACATTTTGGGATCTTTTTGAGACAAATGTGATTTTATTTTGTTGGTGACTATTAAGGTTTTTATGTGTCTAAGGTCTGTGATGATTCTGTAATGATCTCTTTAGTACTGAGTAGTGCTATCTGAAAAACTTCTCTTGGATTTATTCACAATTGACAATCCTGTGAATTTTATGTAGTTAGTTCATGCTATACTGTTCTTGCGACCATAGAAAACTCATTCTGTGCTGTCAGAATCAAATAGCATACTGTCTTTTGTTGTGATGTTCTAAATGTGTATTCTCCAGTTGAAACATTATGTGATACCTGGATTTGAAATACTGGACTTTTTCTTCAGAAGTAGCCATAGAAATCCAAGTCCAATTTTCAGGCCTGGGATCAATTAGCCCCCCAAAGGATTCTTTCTTCTTCAAAGATGCTCAGTAAAAATCAGAGATGATAACAGGGCAGTTTGACGTTTAATCTGGACAGGCATTTTGACTTGGATGTGGGCTAGCACAATGCTACAAATCCAGAATGAAGTTAGAAAGCCATTCCTCTCCAATATGTGCTACGTCTCTTGGTTGAATATTCTTCAACCTCAGGGGAGGTCCCTCTCACATCTGGCTTTCCCACATTCTTCCAGTGGAGCATTCGGGCAATAAGCTTCCCACACCCACCCACATACCCTTTTCTGAGTGGTTCCAGAAGCAAAGGGAAGGCAGGGTGGAGTACCACAAAGCTTGGACCATGGGTGCACCAGATATTCATTAATGTCCATCACTGTGGCAAAACGATAATGAACAGAAAGTAAATGCAGGCTTTATGTCCTTGGCATTAGCCAAGCACAGATTGCACAGCTGCAGAAGAGGGAAACGTTTCTCCTTCCGTCCCTCCACACTGAGGACCTGTTCCAGAACACTGTCCCCTGACACCTTATACCAAGTGAATTGAAAACCTACTAGCAATGACTGTAGAGCCCCAAAGTAGTTGTGAGTGGGGGCCGTGGAAGACACAGAAGCCAACATCTCTTAGGACTTCTGAGCTTTCAAGCCACATGAGACACTGTGTTCATGAGCATACTTCTTTTTAAAGTCTTCCATTGATCCTTTGCAACTAGGACACCTGCCACAAGTAAACTCCTAAGGGCCTCTTTGAAGAACTCTTACATTTCCTTTTTTGGAGGAAACTCTGTAATAGGAGAAAACAGATAACCTGACAAAATTGCTTGTTACATGGGATATTTTTAGAGTCCTCTTTCCTTGTAGATCTCCATTTCGGGAGGAGAACTCAGTACATCATAAAGGAAGGCAGGCACTTAGATGCTCATATTTACTTCTACTTGAAAGATGCTCTTTTTGGCTCAGTTGCTCTTACTTTAAATGCAATTAACCAATTTGGCTTCCCAGCCTGTGGTTGATTAGGAGCGACCAATTAAAGTGAGACTTCACTACATGACTAAATATTGTCCCAACCACATTACATATTTTCAATGAAAACTTGAATGTCTGGGCTAGCACAGGCCACATTCCTGAATGATTTGCTCAAGGTTTCACTTGAATTGCTTGGTGTTGTGTACACACAGCCTCATTTGAAATTATGTAATTTCCCCTGGAACCTTAGAATTTCATCTAGCCATGATATTGTATATATGAGTACTCACAAGCTATAGGTTTTTGAAGACCTGCTTAGATTTACTCTAATTCCACAGAGACATTGTTGCAGCTTATTTGTTCACTCACCTCCTCATTTTGGAAACCATTTTTGGTCTGCTAGGAACTGCTCCAAGGACACTCAGCGAGGAATGCGAATAAAACCTATTATTTTGCTGTTACATCAATTGATGATGAGGATAAGGATAATCATACGCACCGGCACATAATCACGATTCCCAAAATGCAGTACTATTTGAGGATGTGCACACATGTGAAGAAAGAGACACACATATATTGTTCACAATATATATTGGCCAGTTTTACCAGCTATTAACAAATACATTTATGTTCAAGCACTGTAAGTATAATGGAGAGGGAGGAGGAAATACAAATACTTGTAAAGACTCTAACCTTGAGAAGCGTTCAGACTAGAGACAAATATATAGAGATATAGATATAGATATAGATACAGATACATAGACGTATAGATATTCCTTAACTTGGCACCTAGTAGGTATTCAGTAAATATTTGTTAAATAATACAATGCAGAAAACAGTGAAGTATTGGGGCAGAGATAAAATGTTACGGGAATTTAAAGGAGAATGAGACATCCTGAGCTGGGATGAGGGTGGAGGGGAAGGTGTGATCCAGAGAAGGTTTTGGAGAAACATTTGAAGGAAAAGGATAGGGAACCTAGTATTTTTGGCCTTTAAAATATTACCCTAGTTAACCCCCATTACAGTTCTACAAGGACATCTAACTAGCTTCATTTTACGCATAAAGGACTGAGACATGTAGAAGGTAGGAAATTTTCTAACTAGAAAATTGAAATTACAAATTGCAAGAACCTGAAATTTTAAAATACACGGTCTCAAGTTTTTCACTCTACCACAAACCCAGTGGTATTTCACAAGTCTCGAAGCTGTCCAGCTCAAATGGATACTTCTTGACATTCAAATTCAGGAAGGGACAGTTTAAGGAAAGGAAGTACATCAAGCAGTGCTATCAGAATGGAAAAAGACTGAATGAATCAATGTACATGGATGATCAGTAAACACGGTGAATGTTTCAATTGAAAAGAAATCTATTACAGCAAAATAAAGGAATTCAAAAAGACCCCTCAGAATACTTCCCCTTGCTTTGAATGTACTTATTCCTTCATT